CACACACACACACACACACACAAAAGACGCCTAAAAACGAAGGAGGAGCCCTCCCGTCGGCAAGGGCCGACTCCACCGCACCTCCATGCCTAACGCCACATGAGACAGGGTAGAGCTGCGGCGCCCTCGATAGGAGGCGAGAAACCCTAGTCGCCCTTCAACTCGCAAGAGCATAGGCGAACATGTACGAGGGGCATTGTTGGGGCAGGTTTATCTTTGGCTATAATTCTCTATTTTTGTCTAAAATGAACCTTAACCACTTAGTCCCCAAAAATGGTACCTCCTCCGTCCGGAAATACTTGTCATCAAAATGAACAAAAAAAGATGTATCTAGAACTAAAATACGTTTAGATACATCTTCTTTTATCCATTTTGATGACAAGTATTTTCGGACGTAGGAAGTACCAAGTGTTCACAAACCCACCACTCCTAACCTTGTGGAAGTAAAATCTTGTTTGTCGTATAGGGAAATGGAAAATCCAACCACCGATTGATCTTTGCTCTCATATGCTATGAGGGCTAACATGTAACATTCATCTTCGTCCCCAGTCTCTCTCTCCCACACACAGAAATTCACTCTCAAGCCCTCTCCAGTTTCCTCTATCTATCCTACACGTGGCTACATCCCCATGGTTGCGGACTCTACTTCCGCCTTGGTGGTGTCGACCACATGGTGAAGGCAAATGAGTCGACGTGCGTGCTGCTCCTCTAGCACCTAAGGGCTCATCCGCGCGCCCCGCCTACAACGATGATGTATTCAAGTACCCATACCAGTGACATGACCAATCAACCAAAATCTTCGACCCGATGTCGATGGATGGGAAGGGTAATTCGTTGAAACTTGGACCCCCCTCTCTTTATCTCTTCTCGAAGTCTTTTTTATGCAAATTACCATTTTTCCGTGCTAAGGTGATTACGTTGGTGGTAGAAATCCAAATATTCTACCAACCCTCTCAAATCAAAGTCAACAGAACGAAAGGTTAGAATTAGGATGTTAGTGTGGCACTAAAGAATTTGGCATTGCACTTCTTGCGTGGTAATTCTAGGACTTCCTTTGATTCACGTGACAAGGAAAATGAAGGATTGCAATGACCCACCCATTTGGTGAGAATGTCGGTATGGTGGACTCCAACATAATTTGAAAACATGGTATTTTTCATAGTAATGTCTTTGAATAAGTCATAGGAGAAAAAAGTAAACACATTTTATAGAAATGAATGATGCACGAGAGTATGAAGAAATAGATAGATGTTGCATTGTATTACTCATTGGAGGCACACGGAATTTGAGTTAGAGGGTGCTTGGATCCAAGGGACTTATTTTAGTCTGACTAAAAAATAGTCTCTCTAAGAGGCTAAAGTTCCAAGCCCCCCTGACTAAAGAGGTGCTAAAACTAGTTTGAGATTAAAATGTTTTAGTCAGTGGTATTCCTATTAAAATGTGGATTAGTTCTCTCTCTATTCATTTAACTCCTCTCCTTTAACACATGCAAGTTCTGGATTGGAGGGTTTGAAGGATAATAAATGCTCATTAACTTGATTTTAGTCCCTTTAGTATTTGGATCCAAGCATGGGTGAGGCTAGCAAGTTTTAGTCTCACTATTTTTAGTCACGAGACTAAAACGTATCCAGACACCCTCTTAATGTTAGATTTCGTACGATATTCTTATCAATGAAATATATTCAATAGAATTATTCACTTATTTATGAGGATATGCTACATTAATTAAGAATACTCAATTTTTTCCAAAAATTGTACCGTCCAAAAACATCTCTGAAAGTACCGTGACAGGATAGAAATTCAGCCGTGTGCGAAGTAATAAGGAACAACGTAGTATACTCCCTCCGCCTCATAATATAAGAGTGTTTTTGACACTAGTGTCTTGTATGTATACTGCATATATTCAAGCGTCTACATCTGATGAGTAGTCTAAAAAACGCTCTTATATTATGGGGCGAAGGAAGTACATTATATGTGTGCGTATGTATGAGCGTCTATATATGGGTAGTTTTTTCTGTTAAAAATACATTGCACCAAGGAATAAAAGGTCCCCTGCACAAAAAAAAGATAGAAATGGCAGAAAAGTGACAACGAGCCCCCTACGCCTCTATAAAGTAGGACGGGCCGCAGCACCCCCCACCCAGTACCACTCCGTCCGTCCACTGCAAACAAACCAACGCCTTGACCCCTGCGCTCTCCCTCCCCTCCCCAGCGCCAAGAACCCAGCTTTTCTCCTCCCCGCCGCCGCCTCCAGCGCCATGAAGCGCCTCTTCCGACGGCTCTCCCGCGTCGCCGCGGCCGACTCCTCCTCCGCGGCTGCCGCCACGGCGTACCGGCAGCTCCGCGCGCCGAAGCAGTCCGCGTCGGCGGCCGGCGGCGGCTGCGCCAAGGTGCCGCAGGGGCACGTGCCGGTGTGCGTCGGCGAGGAGGGCGGGCCCGTGGAGCGGTTCGCGGTGCGCGCGGACCTGCTGGGCCGGCCGGCCTTCGCGGCGCTGCTCCTGCGCGCCGCCCAGGAGTACGGCTACGGCCACCCCGGCGCGCTCCGCATCCCCTGCCCCGTCGCCGACTTCCGCCGCCTCCTCGTCCGCCTCTCCGACGACCCCTACGCCGACGAGTGCTAGGCTCCGGCCCCTGCCTCCGCACCTTCTTCGCCTGCCGCTGGAGAACTCTGCCCTTCATTCGTCCCCATTCTGACAGATTTACCCCCGGGCGCTGGGCGGACTTGCAATGTACATACAGTGGCAGGCCGAAGAGGAGTCGGTCGCCGGAGCGAGGGTTAGGATAGGGATCTCCTAGCTTCGTAGTAACTTTTTTTTATTACTGCTGAGCGTGAGCTGAATGGGAAGAACTGTGGGTGTTCCTTTTTCACCCCCTCTGGTTCTAGGAATTTCAGTGTGTGTGCGTGCGTGAGTGAGGGAGAGAGGTAGTAGCAGTTTGAGTTTGTGCTAGGGATTTTGAGGTGTTCGGTGTTAACCATATGAGATCCTGAGGCTATCATATGCCATATTTTTACTGAGCTAGTAATATCTTTTAGCACTGCATTGGTCTCCCTCCTTCTCTCTATATGTTTCAGTTCATATCAGAGATCCTCTTGTTCATATGAGATCTGTTTGGAATGCATGAATTCATCGAAAGTTTTACGCGCATTTTACAGAAGGTAGTTCAGTTATTTGACATCGACGCGGGCCTTCGCGTTTGAAACATTGGTATCCTCTGGTTCATTTTACTGAATTGCACTTAGTTTTTGGAGGGGATGAGTTAACACTGGTGCAAGCTGTGATGGCGAGCGATGCCATGTTGCCATGTTGGTGGTCCGGGCAAAGATAGCAAGGGTGCTGGTTTCAAGCAGGATATATGCCGAATAAATGAAAGGATACTGCAGATATCATCTTTTATTAACACCGAGACAAGCACTCGAGCAGTACATTTAGAACATTTGCACAGCTGATCTGGTGCAAGAGTGAGAACATATTCAGCCAGACTAAAGATTCAAGAAAATGCTGCAGCCTGGTTATGAACTGCAGTCTCACTGGCTTGTCACAGGCTGTTCAGGAAAATTTGGCTAACACCTTCAGCAGTGTTCTTATCAAGTACATTGCCATTGTGGAGAAACTGAGTTAGGGTTTGGTTTGGTTTTCGGTTGATATCCGGGTTCTGAACGGAGCGCTTTCAAGTGAACTTTGCTGGCATTTTACTGAAGACAGTCCAGATCCTTATAAGTCGACACCGAGTTTCCGCTTGGGAACATTGTGCATTGCATTACCTTGCATTTGGGGAGAGAATGAGTTAACATTGGTGCAAGCTTGTAATGGAACATTATGCATTGCATTGCATTTGGGGAGAGCATGAATTAACATTGCTGCAAGCTTGTAATGCAAGCGATATGCTAGTGGTCCGGGCAAAGATAGCAAGGTGAATAAAGCAGAATCTGCCAAAGAAAGTCAGATCGGCTCTCTGAACAACTGTAGAAACGCATTTCTATGAACATCCAGACAAGATATGATTGGAGCGTTTGTACATATGATCTGGTGTAAGAGTAAGAATATCTCCAGCCAGGCTAAAAATTCTGAAACACTGCATCCTGAATCTGCACCGCACTCTCCGTTTCTGACTTTGCCTGTAACATGCTGTTCATCAAACTTTGGTTTTCATCATTTTTACAGCAATTGCAAACCAAGCCAAAAATTCAGAAAAGTTGCAGGCTGAATATGAATCGCAGTCTCACTGGCCTGTCGCAGGTTGTTCGGCAAAATTTGGCTAGTATCTTCAGCAGTGTTGTTATCAAGTACTCTCCCCGTTCACAAATATAAGATGGTATAAGTTCTTTCTGAAATCGGATTTATGTAGACACATTTTAGTGTGTTTGTTCACTCAGTTTAGTCCGTATGTCGTCCGTATGAAAATATCCAAAACATCTTATATTTGTGAACAAAGGGAGTACATTGCAATTGTAGAAAAAATGAGTTAAGGCTTGGCTTGGTTTTCAGTTGATATCTGAGCTCGGAACACAGCAATTTCAAATGAACTTTGTGGGCATTTTACTGAAGACGGTTCAGATCCTTTAAAATCGACACCGAGTTTCGGCATCGGAACATCATGTACTGCATTGCATTGCATTTGTGGAGAGCATGAGTTAACATGGTGCAAAGCTTGTGAATGCAAGCGGTGTGGGTTGTCCGGGCAAAGATAGCAAGGATGCAGATCAAAGCGGAATCTGCCAAATGAAGTTACACTGTCTCTCCGATCAACTGTAGGGATCCGTTTTTCTTGACATCAAGACAAAATACAACTGGGGCATCTGTGCAGATGATCTGGTGCAAGAGTAAGGATATCTCCAGCCTGGCTAAGAACTCTGAAACACTGCATCCTGCATCTGCACCGCACTCTCCACTTCCGACTTTGCCTGTAACAGACTGTTCATCAAATTTTGGTTATCGTCTTCAACAAGAGCTGCTCTCATGAAGCACGCTGCGCCTGCATACAGAGAGATTGTTCATTTAGGAAATTCACTGAGCATTTCTCTTCTACTACTATACTATATCTATAATAAAGAAACCCAAGGCAAGGTTTTGCAGTGGAGTAACATGTTGGCGTGAGGACACGGCTCCTCTGCCGTGCGCTAGGTGACGTTGGGCCGCTGACATGTGGGCCAGGTTTCCCACAGGCCCACATGTCAGTGGTAGAACGGCAGGCTGCCGAACGGTAGAGGATCCTCGTGCGTGGGAGATATAAATGGGCACGACAGGGACAGGGGAAGAAGGAAGGATCCTGCGGCAATTGCGGTCTTGGCTTTGGAACAAAACCCGACTGATCGTCGGGCTGTCGTGAGACGGACGGTTTGGTTTGGCGCAGCTGAAAATAGGAGGAGTCGACAGTGACGCGGCGATGGTTGGTTGCCTCAGCACTCATGCTCCGGTTCCCTCGTCGAGCTGTAAGACATCGGCGTCAAACATCCCTCTGAAGCAACGGCAACTGTACGACCGATCGCCGGGAAATTTCGCGGAAGAGCGGGCCGGCTTGTGTGTTTTGATTTAAGAAAGCTATAAGCTTGTAGAGTCTGTTTAATGCAACTTTGTTATGCAATGTAGGAGTGCTTGAACTGGTTGACCGAGGGAACCATGTTCCTAATTTCATTCAGTGTGAAGGGCAGGTTTCCCTGAAATTTCAGATGCATTGCACCGCCATTGGAACATGCGAATAATGGGGAAGAAATGTATGGCTTGAGGAATGTGGACTGAGCATGGGTTATTGGATTATATACAAGTGAAGAAGCAGGCCCATGTGCAGAGATATTGAACGGTACAGTATGGTTGACAGCTTCAGGAGGAGGGAAGATTCAGAAGCAGCATCCCGACTTCCATCCTACTACCTGTGCTTTAACGAACTGCTACTAATCTTTGATCAATCAGCGTTATTATAAATCAACGCCGCCATGAGTTGGTCGTCTCGTCCCAATGATTGTGACGGAACCAATGTCCAAGGAACCATCCGTGCCTGAATCTCCTGCCCGACCAAACTAAGCATCCCATGCAATCATTAAGCAGCAAGCAGGCGTACATTTTCCAGGTCTGGACCGGCGAGCAGCAGATATATAATCAATGCCATGCTCATATATGTATATATAACGAATATCGCACGATGCAAGGACAGGAGCAAATTCATTTTCCTTTCGCGCAACTTGACAATGCGGCGAAAAAGTCTGCAGGGTCACATGGCGGGCACCGTTCCGACCGCAAGACCGCAAATGCAACGGCCGGGAAATAGAAAATGTTACCTGCAGCGGCGCCTGAGAGGGACGGGACGGTTAACGGCGCTATTCTGCCGGCCCAGACTTTTCCCGCTGCGATCAGATCGGCCATGTGTGCGTCTTGCGCTGTGCAGGGATGGCGTGGCGCGGTGCGCTGCGGCCGCATTGAAGCGCGCCCATGCGGTCAAAGTGCCCGAGACAGGCAGACCACATGACGGTCGCAGGCGGGCGGGCTGCTGCTGCTGCGTGCTGCCGCTGCCTGTGTCGCGTCGATCATTTCCAACGTAGAGTACGTACGGGCGTGGCGTGGCGTGGCGTGGTGGACGGGGTGTGGGGACAATAATCCTACATCTACGTAAACAAGCTACGAAGCGTAGGTTTCCTATCTAAATCTATCAGGCCCCCTGATTTTAACAGGGGTGGGCCTCATGCTCCCGCACCGATCCACTAATATTGTTCCACGTCAGCCATTACGTAAAATGTTAATGTAAGTTTACGTGGATCTAGCAAAGCCCGTGTGGGGAGGACACGTCGGGGGGTCGCGTGGTGCGGCGGCCGGGCGTTCCGCTGCCGGAGGCTGCGTGGCCTGGTGGACGGAGGCGTGGATCCGCTGGGTGGGTTTTGTTTCCGTTGTTGTCTCGTGCAGTGCTCGCGAGAGGAGAGGTGCACGGGACGGGACGAAGGTAGGGGGTAGGGCAAGGCAAAGTGAAGGAGCAACCTGTTGGACATGAAGCACGATCACGTCTGGTGCACCGGCTCAATTTGTGCACCGGATGCTTTATTTGGTGCGAAAGCAAATGTGTGCGGGACCAACGTATGAGGGAGTGACAGGGTTACAACATGTGCTTCACGCCATTTCTTCTTCGCTCTCGGACCATTCCCCCCTTCTCCTTGCCGATGACCGGGGGCCAAAGAGACCAAGATGCTTACGAATCGAGAATTTCTGGACTTGCCTCCAGGCTTCTTTGATATCATGTCCGAGGCTTGGGAGGAACCGTGTGCCCACATGGAGCCATGTCGACGGTTTTCCATAAGCTCAAGCAATCGGGGCGGCATTTGTCCAAGTGGAGTGATGGGCTCTTCTCCAAGGCAAAGTTGCAACTTCATGCGGCCCTTCTCGTCATCCTTCATCTTGACATTGCCCAAGAGACGCCTGTCCTTTCGGTGGGAGGGAGGGACCTTCGGGCTCGCCTTAGGCGCCGTGTCGTCAGCCTGGCTGCGGTTGAGAGGGCACGCAAAAAACAATGTGCTCGCATTGCTAACATCAAAGAGGGGGACGCCAATACCAAAAAAAAATCACCTCAGGGTCAACTCGAGACGAAGAAAGAATCACATCCACAAGCTCAAGAAGAATTCTGGATGGATCACGAACCA